ATTACTCAGAACAAGGCAGAATATAAAACAGGTTATGTCTAGAGCATTCCATTTCTGGACCATAGCTTGTCAGAGGTAACTGAGACTACATACAGCAAAATCAGGGATTAAGTGACCAATGTACTTAGTGACATGGGTGAACACAGCACCCTGTTGCAGGGCTACGTGGATAACTCAGGAGGTCCAGGGAAAACCAGGGATGGCAGCACACAAGTGTAATCCCCACACTCAGAAGGCAGGATGATTTCTAGGCCCAGGGCAACCTGGGTACACAGTCAAGACACTATCTCAAAAAAAGAAGGCAGCACAGAGAAACTCTGGCTCGAAAAAACAAAAACCAAACCAAACCAAAACCAAAACCCAAAAAGCAAAAGGAACAAGGAGAGCTGTGGGCATGCATTTTCATTGCTGCTACGGAGGAAAAAATGGGGGTTAGGCAGGGCACAGCTTGAAGACTGGCTGCTTGGAGTCCTTTCTGGAGGCTCTGGGGCTGTCTGACATGATTAGGGACAGGGAACATAATAGACTGTAGTATAGGTGCCCCGATAACGAAGGTGGCTGGGGCTCTGTGGAATTAATCAGTGGCAACAAGAGGAACTGAGTGGCCTCTAGCCAGGGCATAAAACTGGGTCAAGGCAGCCTACAGCCACACACGAACTGTGTCATAGGAAGCAGTTGATGTAGGAGAAATTGATGTAAATGGAGAAGAATTTTGTTAGTTTTCTGATCCTAAAACTTTAATAACCTTTGTGACGTGTATGTTTGGTGTGAGTGTGTGTGTGTGTGTGTGTGTGTGTGTGTGTGTGTGTGTATACAGGTGTGCATGTGCCTGCGTAGCAGTAGAAGACAACTTTCAGGAGTTGGTTCTCTCCTTCCACATTTTTGAGGCAAGGTCTCTCATTTCTGACATGGTGCATTGCCCAGGCCATTCTATCTTCACTTCCCATCCTCATACAGGATACAGATGTGAATCACTACGCTTGGCCACCTGGCTCTTAAAATGTTGATTCTGGGGCTGAGACTCGTAACATCAGAGTCCTGTGGCAAGTGCTTTTACCCACCAAACCATTTGGGTAAGCCGGCCTAAAACTGTGACCCCTTCCCCCCCCCCCCCCATTTATTGTGTTATTTCAAACTTTGCTTTTTATTTTAAATTACATTTATTTGTTATGTACCTGTTTTTCCTTTCTTTTTTTTCTTTCTTTCTTTTTTAAAGACAGGGCCTCACTGTGTAGCCCTGGCTAACATGGAACTCACAGAACTCCACCTAAGTAAAATAGTCACTAACCATTTTTTTTTTTTCTTTTGAGACAGTGTTTTACCATGTAACTGTCTGTCCTGGAACTCAGATTGTATGTTGGACTATTTGTTTTTTCCTATGCCCACTCTAGCTCCCACATAATGAGACAGAGATTTGTTTTTTTTCTATGCCCGCTCTAGCTCCCACATAATGAGACGGAGACCCGTTACGTTTATTAATAAGCTTCAAGCACCATAACTGGGCAGATATTGATCTATTCTAACTTGAGTATGCTAGCCTGGGCTACTTCCCAGCCATGTGCCCAGTTATCTGTCCTCTAGTCTAGCCCTGGCCGCCTCCTCTCCATCCTTGTCCCCATGGGAATTCCTCCATGGTGACATCTTCCTCAAGGTATGTCGACCTTCTCCTTTCTCCCTTTCTCCCTTTCTCTCCTTTTCTCCCTTTCTCCCACTTCTCTCTCCCTATCTGGGACACCCTACCCCTATCTTCTTCTGTCTCCTCTGCCCAGTCATAGGCTCTTCAGCTTCTTTATTAACCAATCAGAGATAATACAGAGCAATCTTTATACAACTTTACACAGGAGATTCCTCAATAGCAATGAGATCACAAGAAAAGGGGGAGGGGGTGAAGCCAGGTCTGGTTGTGCACACCTTTAATCCCTGAGGTCTTGCCTCAAGAGGCAGAGGCAGGTAGATCTCTGTGAGTTGTAGCACTAGTAAGTTCCAAGACAGCCTAGAGAGTTCCTAATCCAAAACAATAATAGACAACACAAGAGTTTTCAGATTTTCCTTAAGACATCAAACTACGTAATTATTTTTTTTTTCCTGTTATTTTCTATTCTTTTGAGACAGGGCTTCTGACATGTAGACTAGATTGGTCTGGAATTTTGTGGTTCAGGCCTGCCTTGAACTGACAATACTCCTTCTACAGGCTGGATTACTGGCACAAATGGCTGAAATTTTTTCTTTGCTGGGGATTGAGCTCAAGGTGGTATGTCTCCTTAGCACTGAGTCAGGTGAGTCAGGAGGACTTGCTGTAAGTTCAAGGCCACCTTGGCCTACTGAGTGAGTTTAGGCTCCACCTCAGAGAAATGTGACTTTGTTTTCAATGGGGGTTGGGTACTCTTAACCACCAAGTCATTTCTCCTTCATCCTGCCCAGGCCCCAAAAGCTTGGGTTATCTTACTGCTCATCTGCCACCAGAGTTCCTGACTCAAAGGAGAAATGTGACATTTGGATAGAGCCTCTTATATTAATTGCTGGATTTTTCAAATGGCTTTCTTTTTCCTTCTCAAATGGGAGGGAGATAGAGAAGCAGAGGTTTGAGATCAGGCTAGAAGCTGTTTGACAATAGGTTGGAGAAGGCAGTGGTTAATAACACAGACTCCCACCTCCATCCTAAAATAAACCAACACATAATATAGGTTCCTCCCATCAAAAATACAGACCCAACTAGAGGTGATGAGTAATTGTGATTCCTGCCTCTTACAGGTGGCTGAGACAGGAGGATGGCCACAAGTTTGAGGCTAGGTTGGGCTGCACCTTCCAGCTAGTCTGGGCTACAGAGTTAGAACTTGTTTCAAAAAGTTGAAAGTGGGTGTGTGGGGTGCTGGAGTTAAGAGTGCTTGCTGCTTTTGGAGAGGACACAAATTCAGTGCCCAGAACCCACATAGGCAACAGACAACTGTCTTTGTAACTCCAGCTCCTGAGGATCCCACACCTTTTTTTGGCCTTCACAGGTACCCACACTCACACTGACACACACACACATACATTAATAAAAATAAATCTTAAAAGAAAATGAAGGGGGTACGGTGGGGATGGCTCAGGGGTAAAGGGCACTTGCTGCCAAGCCTGACCATGTAAGTTCAGTGTCAATGTCTGGGATCCACATTGTGGAGAGAGAGAATCCAGTCCTGAAATTTGTCCTCTGGTTCCCACACATACATAATGATGCAACAAACAGGTCAAATAACAAACACTAATAACAATACTAAGTCAGGAGGATTGCTTAAGAGTTGGAGGGCAGTCTGGGATACAGTCAGACAGGTGAGAGAGCCTGAAAATGAAATCTCTTGCAGTGAAAGTCTGAAAACCTAAATTCATTCCCCTGGAACTCACATAAAGGCAAAAAATAAAAAATCAACTCGTGAAAAGTTGCTCTCTGGCCTCCAAAAGGATGGAAGGCACTTGCACTTTTCTCCACCGATAGTAATAAACTTTAAAAAAAATAAAAACTCAAGGAGCAGGGTGAGGTGCCTCAGCAGCGCACAGGCCTGCCAAGCCCAGTTTGATGGGACCCCACAGAGCAGAAGGAGAGAACAGACTACTTGGGATAGTCCTCTGACCTCCCTTTATCAGTGTAGTGATACATTCCTAACTCCCACAAACTTCTTTTAACGCCCACTCACTGGGGGGGGGGGGGGGAACCAACCAGAGGTGGAGGGGCATAGTTTGGCAAAACTCCTGCCAAGTACAAGATTGCGTGTTTAATGCTCAACATACAAACAAGAACATCTAACTTTTGTAGGATCTGTTTATCATTTGGCTTTTTTTTTTTTTTTTTTTTTTTCTGGACAGTTTTTCTTCTGAGAGTGAATTTTCTTTTTTTTCTGGTGTCAGTCTGGTGTGTTTTACAAACTTTTCCTTCATCGTTACAGTTCACTTATAACCTGAGACTATTCCGAACGGCCCTGTAATTTCTCCAGTGTTGATTTGGAGGCAGCGGCTCGCGACCACGCAGCCTCGGCCTCCTCCATGGAGAGATTTACCAGCGCGTGTCCCCACGCCCGCCTAGGCGGCTCTGGAGGTTTTAAAAATAATCTGCAGCTTAGCCTGGATCCTGACATCTCACGAGCAGTCCTCCCAAATTATTACGCATCAAGAAGATCTGTCCCGGCTGGACTTCAGGGAAGTGCTGACGGTCGGAAACCTAAAACCCTGACTCCGGGGGCTCTGAGCAACTTCGGACGGATCCCTCCGGACGGCCTCTCCGAGACGCCCTTAGGCCGTCTTTCTTCTTACGTAAGACACGGCTCTAGCTCTCCGCTCACACGCGGCTGCCGGACCCTTTGGGCTCCCGTTTCGGGGTGAGGAGACGCGCGTGCAGCGCTCAGCGCCCTCCCAGAGCCCACAGGTCCTGAGGCTCTCCAAGGACCCCCTCCACTCCGCGGCCGACCTCTGCAACCCGACCCTTCCCCCATTCCACCGCCTCCCCTCCCCCAGCTCGGCCAGCCCGAGTTGTGCGCCTGCGCCGCCCCTGTCCTCGCCCCGAGTCAGAGGCGGGTCCAAACCCCTCTGGTCCCGCCCCTCGCCTGGCTGGCCAATCCTGGGCTCCGTTCTGGGCTCGTCAGAATGGCGCTGTGGCGGCCCGGTGCCCGGATGTCCGCTGCCTGAGGCTCCGCCCCGCCACCGTCTTGCATCCTTCCGGCTCCGTCGTGGAAGGAGGACTGCGCCTCGTCTTCCTGAAGGTGGGGTTCGGGGAAGGCCAGCCCGCGGTCACGCCGGCTGTGGGGAGGGAAAGTGGGCTCCCCGGGCTACTGTTTCCGGGTGCTCGGGGCGTGGGTCGAGCGGGGATCGGACCGGGGACCAGGAGGGCTTCCGGGAGCGCCGTGGGCGCTCGGCAGGCGGGAGTTGAGGACCAGGCCGGCCGCGCGGCGGAGTGGCCCCGCGGAGGCCTCCCCGCGAGCGCGCCTGTGGGGGTTTCCATGGTGACAGTAAACAAGCCTCAACTGTCTCACCTACAACTGCCAAGTCCCCGGGGTTCCACCCTCCTCTAGGTGCTCTGAGGGCCGGCGAGGTTCCGGATGTGAGTGGGAGCGTGGAGACAAGGAGCCCGAGGTGAGGGCCGCCAACCGGGTGGGCTGGCGACCGGGCCCGTCGGGCGTTGGGCCGCGGGCGTGGGGGTTCGGGCCGAGAGGGGACGGGGCCCGCGTCGGGGCCGCACACCCGGGGCCGTGCGGAGGCCGCTCAGGGAGCCGGGGACCGCGTGGCTCAGGTTTGGGGGCCGGAGTCGGAGTGCGTTTCAGACGGGGGACGGGCCGCGTGGCCGCGGTTGGCGGGGCGGGGGGACGGCGGCGGCGGGATCCGGAGTCGACTCCGGGGGGCGCCGGGCCGCGGGGCCCACGCCGAGAGAGAAGGCGCGGCTCCGGCTGAGGGCCGAGACCCCGGCCGGCTCGCACGCGGCCCCCCACGCCGCGCCGCCGGGTACTTGGGGTAGGGCTGGGGTGGAGCGTCTCTCGGCCGCGGCGGGCCCCGGGCCGCACGGTGCAGTTTTTTTTTTCCTCTGAGAGGGGAGAGCGGCGCCTCACGTGGCTGGAGGCGCCCGGAGTTCCCCGAGGCGGGGAGGGGCGACTCCGCCCTCCGCCCACGCCCGGCCCGAGCCGAGCGCCTCGCTTCCTCCTCGTGGCGGCCCGAGGGTCCCGAGCGCCCGTCTGCCTGTTTCCGGTCCCCCGGAGGTCCCGCGTTGGCGTTTCGGGGCGTGAGGAATCCGTGCCTCGCGAGGTTGGTGGGCCGTCGCCTCCGGTTCCGTGCACTTTGGGCTGTGTTTGTGGGTCTTGGCGGTTCCGGGGAGAACTTGGGCCCGGGCCTGCTCGGCCTTGCCTCGCGCGCGCTCCTGAGCGCCCCCGAGATGGCCGGCCGCTGGCTCCGGCCGGCCTGCCCTTACCCGTGAGGCCGCCCCACGTGCCCCAAGGCACCCACGGAGTGCCGTTCCCGGCTTTCTCGGCCCGGGCAGCGCGGGCACAGACTGAAGGGCCTCCTTCCTGCCCACCACAGCTACGTGGGGGCTGTTGGCGCGGTTGATTGGGCGAGCTCTCGGCGCGGGAGGCCGCCATGTGGCTGTGCCAGATCAGTCTCCCGAGCCTGGGCAGAGTTTGCCTTTGACTACTGGACCTGATATACTGAGCGGGTTTTTTTTTGTTGTTTTTTGGTTTTTTTTTTTGGTCGGTCTTACTCAAGTTTATTTATTGGCGTTGGTGTGGAGGTAAGAGGAACACTTGAAGATTTTTTTTTTTTCCCAGAGCAGTGAGTACCCGGGATTGAATTGAGATTATGCTTGGCGGTACAAATCACTATCACTTTCTCAAACCCGGGAGTTTTTCTTAAATAGTTGAAACTCTTATTGGTCAAGTCGTAGATTTAAAGTTACTACGTCAGTCCGATTTAACTTTGCTTTGTGCTGCCTAGTGGAGGTCAAAGAAAAACGTGGTGTCAGTTCTTCCATCGCACGCTCAGAGATTGAGCGGTCGTCTCTCGGTCTGGCAACAAGAGTCTTAGCCGCTCAACAATCTCGAAGTGCTTTTTTTCGTTTTTTATTTGAGACGGGGTTTTTCTGTGTAACTTTGGTTGTCCACCGTGCCCAGCTTCTAAGCTGTGCTTATGCCTGTCCGTGGTGGTGTACTCCTTTAATCTCAGCACTCAGGCAGAAGAATCTTGAGTTCTAGAACAGCCTGGTCTACTGTCTCGAAAACCAAAACAACACCCCCACAGAGTTTGTGGTAAAAATAGAAATCTCTTCGGTTTTTCGGGTAGAAAAAGTGTCGGTGGAGTATGCCTGTAATCCCGGCACTCAACTTTTGTGAGTTCGAGGCCAGCTTGGTCTACAGAACGAGTCCAGGACAGCCAAGGAAGGCAACACAGAAACAAAAAAAAAGTACAGAAAAGTGGTGTTCTTAGTACTAATTTCTAGACAATACTCTTCATTTTGTTTTTACTTTGAATGTTGAGACATTTGTAGATTACTGTCTCTGCTTGTCCTATAACTATGTAGATCAGGCTAGTCTAGGAACTTAATTGACTACTCTGCTGCTTAAGACAATTTTTTAAAGACTGCTGTCCTTCAGGTGTGCCAGAAATTTCATTTTCTTGCCTTTTATCTATCTCCCCAATGTTGCTATTACAAGCAAATGCCACCGTCTTACAAATTGAAAATCTTATTTTACTAGTCTTTTTTTTTTTTTGAGGCTTCAAAAATCAGGCAGCCACTGAAGATGACCTTGAATTCAGATCACAGAGCTCCATCCACTAGATTGCTTGGATTACAGGAACACCATGCCCCATTAATAGGTACTGGGCATGCTAGGCAGGCACTCTGCAGAGCCCTGTCGGTTTTGTTTTTGTTTTTTGTTTTTGTTTTTTTTGTAGTTCAGTAACTTTCAAATTTTTTTTCCTTGTGTCTGTGGGTATATCTCTGTAGGTAAAGGTCAAGGCAAGGCTGGATTATATAGTGAATTGAAGGAAAGACTTGGTATCCTGACTAAAATTAAACCAATAAATACAAAATGATTACTTTTTGTTTCTTACTAATAAGCCTTGGCTGACTTGAAATTCACTGAATAGATCAGGCTGACCTCACACTCTGATCTACCTGGTTGTGCCTCCGGAGTGCTTGGATTGCTGGTATTAAAAGGTATGCACCCCAGGCACTGCTAATCATGTGATCTGCCTGCCTCCGCCTTCCAAGTGCTAAGATTAAAGGCGTGGGCCACTATGCCCTGCTTATAAAATGTTATTCCCTCAGTCTTCAGACTCTTATTCTGCTGATCCTTTCCTCTTTCCACCTTTTGTTTTGCAGGTATTCCTGTATATTTTTGACCCAGTGAGTTAAGGTTGCTTTCAAAGTCCTGAGTGAGGGACCAATACACCATTTTATTTCATATTTATTCTTCATTAATGTATGTGCTGAGTTATAATGGTTAATTTTTTTTTTTTTAAGACAAGGTGTTAGTATGTAGCTTTGGCTGTCCTGAAACTAGGAAATGACCTACGTTTGCCTTCTGAATGCTGGGATTTAGAGTAATGGTTAACTTCTTAAGGGATTTCTCCAGTTTGGTCAGGATGTTTAACTGCTTTGTATGTTCCTGGGTTTGAACTTTTTGAAATTTGCCTTGCCTCGCTAACTGAAATTATCTTGTGAAAATAATTTTACTCTGAAAATGGAAAATCAGTTTTATTTGCTTAAAGATAGATTAAAGTATCAAAAACTTTATAGTAACTATACTATATATATAGTCTTGGGTTAGTGAGGTTGTGAGGGGCACAGGGACTGGAGTTTGGGGTTAGCCTAGGCTACATAAGTGTCTCTTGAGTCAGTCTTCAAAGAGAGCCTGGTGTGGTGTTCCAAACCGTTAAATTCTTGTACTTGGGAGACAGAGGCTAGTGAATCTCTTGAGTTTGAAAGCAGGGGAAATGGAGAAGAAAAGTACAAAAATACTGGTGGCTTAACAGAAATTTGTCTTCTAGTGGCTAGAAGTTTAAGATGAAGGTGAAACCAGGGTTGTTAAGTCCTAGACAAGACAAATGAAAATTGAGAACTTAGAAGGAAAAAGACAAATGGTGACAAGAGAAGAGAGGGGATGCAAGATTTTCCTAGTTTAACTTTATTTGAACTGGGCAGACCTCCCAGTACTCAGGCAGAAGCAGGCAGCCTTGTTTACACAGGACAGCCAAAGCTACACAGAGAAATTTGTCTCTCAAAAAACAAACAAACAAACAAAAAAACCCTCAATTTGATTCTGTGTTGTCAGGGTGCTAAAACAAAACTTAGGTATAACGTTAAGACTTTTGAACTTAAAATGGAGAAAACTGACTTGGAAAGAGCATGTCTTCCAAATTTGAGCAGTGATCCAGTATTGAGGCAGGGCAAGAGGATAGCTGCAAGTTCTAGGCTAGCCAGGCTCTACAGTAAAACCTTGTTTTATTTGCAGGTATGGTGGTGGGCAGTAATCTCAGCACTAGGGAGGCAGAAGCAGACAGATTTCCTGATTTCTAGCACAGCCAGGCTACAGAGAGAAACCCTGTTTCATAAAAATAAAGCACCCACCTTTTTTTTTTCTTCAAGCATATTTCCAGAAACTTTACCAGTTTTCCAGATTTGTGCTGTCCTTGGTATTAACTCATTAATTCAACATTCAAGTGGAGATAGTAGCTTGCCTGTAAACCCAACACTCATACCCTGATATAAGAAGGAAAATTAAGGGACTAGAAATGGAAAGATGGTGAATCCCCTTAAAGCATTTGTTCTCCGGAACCTGGTTTGGATTCTCAATACCTTTGTTGTGGTCTTGTTTGTTTGTTTTGAGACAGGGTTTCTCTGAGTAGCCTTGGCTACCCTGAACTCACTTTGTAGACCTGGCTGGCCTTGAACACACAGCAATCTGCTGCTCTGAGCTCTGGGACTAAAGTTGTAAGCCATCACAAAAGTCTATCTACGTTGTATTTTGTAACCACTTTTTTCAAGGAGATTGCATGCTCCTGACTTCCACATGTTAACACATGCAGTGCACATATCTGTAAGTAAAATACTCAGACTAAAGTCTGAAATAAAGGGGGATGGAGAGATGGCTCATGTTTAAGGACCCCCCCCCCCCTTCGCAAGACAGGGTTTCTCACTTGGCTGTCCTGGATTCACTTTTGTAGACTAGGCTGGCCTTGAACTTCCAGAGATCTGTCTCCCTTAGCCATCACAGGTGTGCACCACCATGCCCAGCTAACACTTGTTTAAAACTTTGGAAAGAGGGAATTTAACAGGGCTGGTGATACAGAAGTCTACCTTCTTTTCAGTTGTAGTTTCTTTACCCAGTCTACACAACAGACACATTTCCCCCCTACTATGGGGAGAGGTACCAGTTAATTAAAAAAAAAAAAAAAGCAATTTTCTACTCAGTTGACAAAATCAAATAGCAATACTTTTTCATAAATGTAAGTGAACTTCATAATTTTACATTTGTTTTTCATTGTTACCATAGAGACCTTAATTCTTGAGACATAGAATAACAATCAGTAGGCCAGCTGTGGTATGCATACCCATAGTATCATCATTGGGGATGGAAACTGGAGGGTGTTTCTCCAGGTAAGCCTTAGCTACATAAAAAGTTTGATGCTGCATGAACAATCAGTGATGTTAGTGCAATTAATGATTGTGTTCTACAATTTGCACAAATTTGCCCTTTTGGTTACTTTTAACATAAGCCTAATAGATAAGAATCACATACTAGTGAAAAATCACCTATTTGTTTAATAGTACCGGCTTTGTGAAATGAACATTAAAGAAGACAGATACAGTAAGTAAATACAGTCTTCCATAGTTGAAAGATGGAAAGTGGCTTTCTCATTTTGTGTTTGCTGTGGCTTACCCTTTGGCAAATACAAACAGTGCTGGAGTAACACTATGTTTATGTTAGTAGGTTGGCCATTACCGTTTCTAAGAGTAGTATATTGGACTAGCACACTAGTACACATTAGTATCAGATTTCTCATTGTAAATCCATGCCTGAGAAATTAAGTATATAATTTGTATATGTTGGTGCAAGTCTTAACATCTTAAGATTAGTATTATAATTTTTAGATGAGTTCATGACAGGAAGAAATGATTTAAGAGTTGCTGAAATTGAACTAAAAATAGCTAGTTTAGGAGTGAGAGTTTTCTCAGTGATTGAACACTTGCCTAGAATGTGCAAGGCTTTGGATGTAATCGTACTGCATTCTCTAGCACCAGAAAATAAAGCTAAAAAGATGACTATTGTGGTTATATGCCTGTAGTCCCCAGCATTTGGGAGGCTGACCCAGGAGGACTGCTACAACGCCTAGGCAAGCCTAGACTACTCATGGGAGAACCAGCCCCAAACAAAAGTTAGACACACTCTGCTACCTGGAAAGTTTGAGGACAGTCTGGACTCTGTAATCCAGATTGGCCTCAAAAATTTTTTTCCTTTTAAAGAAAACTTGATTAAAAATTTTTTTGAGGCCATGAAATCTAGTTTCTTTTAAAACCAAAAGCCATCCATAAGGTTGTGTTTACATACTATGGTGTCCTGGGCTCATCCAGAGCTCCTGT